CCCACCACAGCAAAGAATAGCCCCGGCTCGCCGCAACTGGAGAAAGCCCACGCTCAGCAACCAAGACCGAACACAGCCAAAAAATAAATGAAAAAAAAAAAAAAAAAAGGCAGCTTCAGGGGACTTGCCTAGTGGTCCAGTGGTTAAAACTTCGCCTTCCAATGCAGGGGGTATGGGTTCAATCCCTGGTCGGGGAGCTAGGATCCCACGTGCCTCGCAGCCAAAAAACCAAAACATAAAACAGAGGCACTATTGTAACAAATTCAATAAAAACTTTAAAAAAATGGTCCCCATCAAAAAAAAACTTTAATTAATTAAAAGGTGGTGTCAAAAGATACCTAAGGTAGGAAGCTCCCCATCACTGGAGATAAGCAAGCAATCTAATAGCCCCCTGCTTGATGGCGGTGCCGTGGCAGGGATTCCCATTTGGGCGGAAACCCACAGAGTACCTTCCAGCTCTATGATTCTTTGCTCTCCCTTTGATCTCCCCCATCACGGGTGCCTGAGAGCAGGAAAGCTAAGGATGGAGGCTCTCAGGCACTGCTTGGTTTCTGCCCTGGGAGCCATAGCGCCCTGCGGTGAGGAAGGGACAAACAGACCTGCTGTCCACTGTTATCCAGTCTCTGTTTGATTATCGCCAGTGACAGTGACCTGCCAGGAGCAGTGGCCTCCACTCAGCAGGCCTTCCCTGAAATGAGGCAAGTCTGAGCAAATCACAGAGGCTCAGGGAGGAGCTGGGGGCTCCATTCAGAACCATCCCAACGGAACAGCCTTGCACGAGAATCCCAGGGCCACAGACATGAGTATTCCATCCTGAGAAAAGATTCAGCTTGGTACCGCCAGCCTCGGCAGAACGTCAAGTCAATCACGTTTGGTCTCCAGGCCCAGCAGTCCCTGTGGACTGGGATCTCCCGCCTCGGGCACTTCCGTTCCTGGCAACTGTTACATCAAAAAATACCTATCCCTGGTCCCATTACCTCAAAGTCTGTGCAGAACAAATAAGCTAAAATCCAACTGTTTTTTAAGCAGGCCATAAGTCGCCTCTTCTTATTCTAAGGAATCCCTGGAGTCACAAAGCTACCTCCAATGGTGGACTTTCAGGTACTCTATGGGCCAGGGCAGTTATCCTGTTGATCAGTAAGATGATCTACTCCATCAACCTGCTCTGTCCTCAAATTCCTCCTTTAATGTTCCTCAGGTGAGAATGTATGCAGTGATTGAAATACATGTATTGTGACCAAAGTTTCCAGTGTCGCAATTTGCCCAGGACACGGTGTCTTCAACCATTATCCTGTCTTTCATTCTCAAAAGTGTCCCTGTTTGGACAATAAATTGTATGTTGACTAGTTATTACCCAGTTTAGGCCTTATATTACCCCATAGATTAGGGCTCTGGCAGAAAATGACACAGAACAAGTTTTAGCAGGGAGAGGAGTTAAAGGGGGCTCTAGGCCCAGCGTGCTGTCTGGCTCAGCAGGTGATGCAGTAGGGTTGAAAGCACGAGGACCCTGGTTGCTGGAAGGCGAAGTCGGCCGGAGAGGTGCAGGGCAGAGGGCAGACTCTCGCAGCACAGGAGCGGAAGATCCCCCGTCACCCCCTCCTGTTCTCGGGAAGAGGGAAGGGAGTGCGTGGCTGACCAGAACCAATCATTCCTAGAACCAACGGCCCTAGGAATCAAGTCACAACTCTGCCCTGTTCCTGTCTTCTCAGTAAATGGAAACTAGTCCTCACATTGGACACCAAGTTAGAAAGCAGATGTCCTTTGGCCCGTGCTGCTATGTGAAAATGTGATCTGACACTCTTGATTCGCCCCACTCTTCAGAGACCACCAAGGCCCCGACCGTCTCCAGACTCCTTTAAATCCTCATGTCGGGTTCTGCATTTCTTGCAGCCTCCCATGTCCATTTTTCTCTTTGACCCGCATGTAACAGGCGTTCAAATCCCCAAGGGATTAGAGATCACATCCCAGATCATAGACTCTGAGAGCCAACAGGGAGCGCAGGGGTGTTTCTGTCACATGTTGCCAGTAAGGGACACGAGCCCGGAGACAGGGTGGCTGGGCAAGTCTACACGGGGGTCAGTGACTCGGCCCAGCTCAGAGCCCAGGCCTCCTGATCCCAAGCCAGAACTCACTCCCAGTGCCCACTCAGAAAAGCCTAGAAGCTGCTGGGATGCGTGGCCCAGGGCTCTCTCCAGGTGGCCTTTAAAAACAAGGAGATTAAGGAATTCCTCGGCGGTCCAGTAGTTAGGACCCGGTGCTTTCACTGCCAGGGCCTCGTTCGATCCCTGATCAGGGAACTAAGATTCCGCAAGCCTCGCAGGGCAGCCAAAAAAAAAAAAAAAAAAAAAAAAAAAAAAAAAAAAAAAAAAAAAAAAAAAACAAGGAGATTACATCTCTCAGGGGTGGCTTCAGGGTGGCCCTGTAAAGGCCAGGTGGTCTCCAAGGTTCCTTCTGAAATAAAAGTACCCTGCAGAGGGCACAGTGGCTCCCCTTCTCCCCAGTACCTCCCCTCCTGGCCTGGCTGGGGAAAGCAGGATTGTATGCCATGGTTTGCGGATTTCTTTTTCTTTCCCAGGTTACTCCTTTTTTAATGACCCTGAAGAGACCAAGGCCACCATCAAAGACTGTAAGTAACTGAGGTCAAGCTGCCCGAGGCCGTGTTGAGGCTACTGTTGGGCACATGGGCTTGAACGATGCTCTTGTGGGACCACACTCAACGTCTGATGACCTGAAACAGTAAAGGCTAGGAGAAGATGGCAGGAGAAACACGGTGGACAGAGCAAGTCTGTGGCTTCCTTAACCTCCCCCAGACTCAGTTTCCTTGTCTATAAAATGGTGAGACACTCACTGGGTTGTGAGGTGTTCAGGTAACAGTACATACAAAGTGCCTGGCCTGTGCCAGCAGCGTAGATGCTCCAAATACTGGTACCCTTTAGCAATAATAATCATAATGACTAACCATTAGAGGCCTTGTGGTTGATAATGTCTACAAAGAATCTGAGCTCACTAAGCAGGTCACGTTTGTAACTATAAGGTAATGGAGGATCTCAAATGGCCTTGTTGATTCTGAAAATTAACACTCACGGTTTCACTTCTGCAGATGGAGAAGGTTTAAGAAAGGGAGCTTTGGAGCTTTCATTTTTTAAAGATGATGATGACGATGATTGCTCTTAGTTACTGAGACCCACGCCAAGGTCCTGGTTCCGGGGCCTGGCCAACTAGGGCAAAGTAGCATCCTGGGGCTTCAAGCAGTGTTCCCATTCACCTTAAGTAGCTATAAGATTAATAGCTACTGTTAGTGTCTGTGAAGCCCTTACTATGTGCCCAGCGTGGTGCCAGGCCAAGTATTCTACCTACATTAACTTATTTAATCCTCATGATAACTTTGCTAGATCGTAATGTTATCCCCATTTGTATCTAAGGAAACTGGAGGTGCTGTAACTCACAAGTTACATGTTATAAGTCAATGCCGAGCAGAGATTCCAACTCATCTTCTCAAAGCCTATGCTCTTATACGCTGTGTCCTTCACCATATGCCCACAGGTGCACACACACATGCACGCACGGTCCCAGACTCAGGACTCCTCTGGGTCTGGGCCCAGCTCCACAATGGTTCAGAGAACAGGAGATTTTCAACTTAGTACCTGCTGAAGGGGCCCAGGCCCGACAAGCTAGGAAACCATCAGAACTGGCCCAAGTAAAGTACCCCAGCCCCTCTGCACTTGATCTCTCCTCTCCACACCCTCCCCACCTCCACCACAGAAGCACCAGAGGACAAAGCCTACGGGCCTGGCTTTGCTGCTGGGTATCTCCAGCTCCTGGCATGGGGTGCAGGCTCTATGTCTGGACTGCTAGCATCATGGGGACGTGCGTGTGATGAGCTTGATTCAGAAACTGCCACGCCAGCCTCCACCCAGCTTCTGGAGGACAGCGGACCGGGATTTCAATCAACAACTGAGAACATATCTTTGGCCACATTTTAACAGTCTCCAGTTTCAAGGCAACCAAACCTCTCCAGATCCCACAGACAGCAGAGAGCCAGGGCCACGTCCCCACTCGCCCTGCGGCAGGCACAGCCCAGCTGCAGGGACACACTGAAGATGAAGATGGTTGTGAGACAGGGAGCTGCCCCCCCAGAACGCTGTGAAACTCCAGAGAGAAATTTGGGGCGGGGTTCAGGGTACTGCTGCTGCCACCACCTCAGACTGACCTCGGGGACGTTTGGATCTGGGAAGCTGCCTCAACGTGACCACGCACTGATGGCTTCAGCCCCTCTGCCCCCACTAACACCCTCACCCCACCACCCGCCAAGCAAGGCCTCCAGCCGAGCCGAGCCGTGACTACCCTCAAAGCCACCACTGAGGAGTAGGAACCGATAAAACAGGGTTATTTATCTCTGGCAAGACCCACAAGGGGAAACTCCCACCGTCCCCACAGCCCTGCCTCGTGCTGACCCAACCTGTGTTCATCTCATCTAGCCGAATCTCTTCCATCCAAAGCACGCGGAGAAAGCATCAAAATTAAAAGGGTGACTCTTCCACTTCTTGCCATTTTGGCATTTCAGAGAAAGCTTGTTGTCTAGTCACCAGTTAATAATTCGCCTGTGTTTGTCTTGACGACTCCATTTGTTTTCTCTCTTCTTAAAAGATTAAATTGAAACAGTGGCCAGGTCTTCTCTACAGGTGATGCCGCAGAGCGTGACATTGGATCAGATAGGAGGGCAGAACACTTTCTCGGTCTTGATCAACCGGCCGTCAGCCCTGCTCACCTGCTCACCTGCATTCACCTCTCTCTACCTGGTGGCAACCCCACTGTCAGCTGATCTCACCTGAGCATTCACTGTGGCCTGGCCCGTGTGCACGGGCCCGCTTTCCCACATCAATACAATTCCAGGCTGTAAATGTAGGAAAGGGGGAAGGAGAGGCCGAAGGGACCCCGAGAGTTGAAGTCACGCATTCGTGTCATTGTTTGTTCCAGAGAATGATGCATATGGCAGCGATTAGGGCTGGGGGCCCTGATGCCGGACTGTTCACATGCGATCTCAGCTCCGACGTCGGGCAGGCACATGGCCTGGATCGTGCTCCCCAGACATCACCAGGGCTCGCTCCGTTCTGCTCAGGCATCTTGTCCGAGAGCTTTGTCTGTTCGCTCTTATTACAACTGCAACATCGCTCAGCCCCTTCACCATGACCTCTATTCGCCCACCCCGCTGCATTCCTCTCCATGGCATTTATCACCAACTGAAATAGGTCGTGTTTGTTCACTGGACGTTCCTTCCCACTTGGGTGCAAGTCCCCTGAGAGGAGAGCCTGGGACCTGTTTCGTGATGTCCGTCCCATGCCTGCTGCAGAGAGTACACTGTGTCTCAGCACTCGTGAGCCCATGAGTGAAGGACCTCCAGGGAGACACCCAGCCACCTGATACATCTGTCTTCTTATACGTAAAGTGGGAGAGTAAGAAACGTGCATCATAAGGGTGGGCGAGATTGGGTGAGCACCTGGCAGTAGCAAACACTCAACAAACTTTAATAATTATTCTTTAAGTATCTATTGAACACCTGCCATGAAAGACATGCTGAAGCAGGAATTGTGAACATCTGCTTTGAAACGGAAATGCTCTGGGTTCAAGTCCTGGCTCCACCTCTCTGGATGAAATTCTCAAACTCTTTGGGCTTCAGTTGCTCCTCAGTAAATGGAAATAGCGATTATACCACACAGGGTCGTGGCAGGTATTAAATGAGATACTGTATGTGAAGCCCTTACAAGCACTTGGCACTTAGTAAGCACTCCTTTAATATCAGCTGTTAGTACACATGAACAACGAACGAGATGGACCTCTACGGTAGAGGTAGAAAGGGACCAATGCTGGAACACTGAGGAACACGCAGGTGCTATGGGACAGAGAGGGCTCTAACCCAGAGGGTGAGTTCCGAGAAGACTTCCTGATGAGGTTTTGTGAGAGTGGGTTCAGCTGGGTGGAAGTGAGGAGCGGGAAGCATGTGCAAAGGAAGCAGGAGAAAGTCAAGCCCCATTGGGACCATCTGACCCAAAGGAGGGACGAAGTTGGGGAGCAGCAAGGGATAAGCCTGGATAACTGGGTGGAGGTCCATGTGTGAAAGGCCTGACTAACGTGGCAGCCTCTGCGCAGGATACCACAGGGTACCACTGCAGGATGTCACGCCAGGGAGTGACAAGACCCACTGGCACTGAGACAGGCCCCCCCTGGGCAGTGGTGTGGTACACAGGACACCATTCCCTCCATGGACAGCATACTTATTCTGTCATTCAGTATTTATAGCATCATGTCCCTACAGCAGGGAAGGTGAGTAGAGTGCAGCAAGGTGGCCACTCCACAATACTTACTGAGCACCTACTATATGCCCAGCACTGTGCTAGGTGCTGGGGGATACAGGTGAGAACACAAATCCCTGCCCTCTAGTGGGGAAAGTCAGCCAGTGAGCAAAATAAATAAATATATAATATGTTCCATGGTGATGAATATGACAGCAAAAAATAAAACTAGCACATGGAGTGTTCAGTAGGGTAAGCGTGTGCAATTCCAGCTCAGGCAGTCAGAGAAGGCCTCGCTGAGAAGGTGACTTTGAGCAAAGATGGAGATGAGGGCATGAGCCCCTGGACATCCAAGGGAAGAGCACTGAGGGCAAAGGGAGCAAGTGCCCCAAGGTGGGATGTGCCCGTGAGTTTCAAAAGGAGCCGGGAGGCCAGTGTGGCTGGAGCAGGCTGAGCAAGTGATGTGGGGGCAGGGACGGGTGATCTGGTACCACCTTTTACTTTTTAATCATATACACTTTGCAGCAACGTGAGTGTCTCAGACTTACAGCGTGATTTCTAATTTAACTCGGCCTTGAGGTCATGCCTTGCTGTCTGCTCTTCATAAGCTCTACTCTCTTTGCTTTTACCTGTGTCCCTTCTAGTCTGTTCTCCACACACTAGTCAGAGGGATCTTCTTAAAAAGTAGACCTTGTTAAAGTCCTAAGTCTTCGCTTTACTCTTTGAATAAAATCCCACGTCCTGGGCTTCCCTGGTGGCGCAGTGGTTGAGAGTCCGCCTGCCGATGCAGGGGACACGGGTTCGTGCCCCAGTGTGGGAAGATCCCACATGCCACAGAGCGGCTGGGCCCATGAGTCATGGCCGCTGAGCCTGTGCGTCCGGAGCCTGTGCTCCGCAACAGGAGAGGCCACAGCAGTGAGAGGCCCACGTACCAC